AGTATCGGAGACAAGCAGACCACTTATCACTCGGTTGCCAGAGCTGGCTCTGCCCCTTGGCTTCCTCAAACCCTGCTCCGCCTTTGCCCACTACCCACAACTATTCCACTTACTTACCTAGATAGTCCTCAAGACTCCGAACTTCTGAAGTGCGACAACCTTGTGATTGGCCACTTACACCTGGCATCATCCATACCGACAGTCAATAACGCCAAGCGGCGTGGGACACCGCAGAGGACCATGGGCATCGGCGGACGGTAACGACGTGCAAGACCAATGAGAGGAGCTGCCCTCCCTGGCCCTCGAGGCTCCAGCCGGAATGCAACCCACGAGGACGGCGAGATGGTCAGTAGGTCACTCCACGCCCATCACTCCACGCCCCCTCTCCCCCTCCCACCGTCAGCCTGATCATGACAGAGGTCATGCAGACGGGTGGCTACCCAGAGACACGTCTCGCAAGACTACTCGTAGGGCTGCCATGAAACCGACGACTACCCGGCCCGGTACCTGCTGGAGACCTTCCACACCGTCGGCCGTGAGGCAAGGAACACCCGCGCCCGCCTGATGTTGCTTCCCCCTGGTGGGAAAACCAAACACTCACCAACAAGCCTGCTCACGAGGGGAGGGGCATTCGGGGGATGACTTGCTAAGCCCCCCCGCTTTAAGAGGACCCTGATTTTGTCTATATTTGTCCCTCCTTCCTCCCCCTCTTCTCTGACAGACTCTCCTCTCCAAAACCCAATCCCATCTCTGATTTTACAAATCAACATCTTGCGAAACATACAACCACTTCCTCCACCAACCCCCCCAAAGACCAAAACACATCCAAAACAATGGGTCACACTACTTGCCCCAAGTGCAGCTCCGCCATCGCCGGCGAGGAGAAGACCTGCGGCAGCTGCGGCGCTGTGAGTTAAAGCCTACATACCTCCCACCTTGACCACCCCTCTTTTCTTGCCCCTCCCTCCCCTCCTCAACTTGCACCTTTCTCTAGCCTCGTCCGCCTCTGACACGACGGTTCTGCCGCTTCGATCTTTTTCCTTCATGCAGGATTCCATTACCTGGTTACTGACCTGATGTGGCTGTTTCGTGCCTTACAGACCTGCCCTAACTAAGAGGCATCTACATGCATCCCACCACCCTTTGGTCTTGGGGGAAACAAGGAAGATGGGACAGAGCGGGGATCTGATTTGACGGAAACGGAGAGAGGGAGAGAGGCATGGTTACTTGGATGGAGGGAAAGCATACGGGATAGCGTTGTCGGTTCGGGCGTGTTAGCCAACGTTCTAGACGTCTGGGCTTTAGTAGTTTCGGGGGACGGCGTTTGCAAATCAGCTGCGCGGTTGGAATGAGGATAATCCAAGCCCATGTTGAATTCGTCTCCCCACTCCCCTTATCAAAGTGACACTAATGGCCGATTCCTATGAACTGTTCTACTGCCTATGCTACCGCTATGTGTGAAGAAAGGTCGTAGGATATGCCCGTCGGTGACTATTGCCTGGAACCAAAAGCAAGAGGTCGATCCCGCCTCGTCGATGACGTAGCCTGACTCAGAAGCGGAATATGGCGAGAGCCGCGGTTGGCCAGCGAACTAGCAGCTGGGCAGGGCCACAAAGTCACATGGCTATCTCCCCTAGGCGAACTTGTTAATATGGGCGCCTCGTCGGGGAATATGCAGTCCTATCAAGCAGATAGACTTTCTTGGGTCCCGAGGGGGAAACCACGGCCTGTCACTTGGGGGAAAGGCGCCTATCCGCCTTGCCGTTTCTCCTGAGGTGTGGTATGGGCCTACTAAGGTAAGGAATAGATAGCCCAGGGCGTAGAAGCATCGATCGCCACCGAGCCTGAATCCGTCTCCTGAAGGGTGGCCAACGACCAAGGGAACAACCAAATCAACTCGAACAACCACTACCTACTGTAAGAAACTGTCAGATAGATTGGGGAAAGACTTGTCCGTTGAGCTGCAAGGCAACCAAGGCGGGTTCTCGCGTATCCAGCCCATGTTGCACGCTGGATGCCTATTCCGGCTATAAACAATGCTGAGCGCCGATCAGGCCGACTGGCACATGCTAGCCATGTGTGATGACACTCAGACCGCCACGCTGGTTCAATGAGTCTACTTGCTGTCTACCCATCTATGGCACAGGCTAGAATTTACAGTTGCCGTTCCATTGCGGTAGGATGGGACGAGGGCAGGCCGTTGTCAAAAAAAATAATGAGAGTTAGCTAGATAAGAAAACCCCACACAATATGTGCCCTCTCCATGGTCTACTTAAAAAGAATACGAAGAAACTTAAATCGACGAAATGACAAGTCCAGACTGCGAGAGCACTTGAAAAAATAACAAAACGAGAAAAATTTATCACGGAGCCGACCCCGATCTCTCAAGTCAGGCCAACCTCGAGTGTGGTCATGACACGACCTCAAAACTTCTCCAATCTCCCCTGATCCGTTCCACCCTCGCACGAAGAGCAGCAATTTGTCCTAGAAAGCAGGCCCTCCCTCGTTCTCCCCCTTACGCACATCGCAGATACTTTAAAAAACAAGACCCGCTTGCTTGTTGAACTTGTCAAGAAGCCGCAGGCTAGCACTAGAGCTCCCAGTCCCGAACCCCAAAATGATATGTAGATGACGACCCTCGTAGGAGCCGTCGATTAGGTAGCAAATCGCCCTGTCAACCAGAAATAAGAAGAAGCTTGACATGTGCGAAGCGGTGTCCGACCCGAAGTTCCAGAACCCTATGTAAACAGCAGCTCGCGCGAGTGAGGCCGTAACTGGACCCGTGTATTATCTGAACAGTTGTGGCCCAATTCGACGTTGAGATACAAAATAACGGATCAGAGTAGCTAGGTCGAGCCGGGTATTAACAGGCGGCGCGGCTGCTCAAGTTGGCTGATGGTGCATTTAGAGAACAAGGCACTTCTTGTGGCTCTTGCCGGGCTTGCCGCCGCGTGCCATGAGGGCGGCACGGGTGGCGTGCTCGAAGACTTCGCGGACACCATCGTTGCTCTTGGCAGAGCACTCGAGGTACTTGTAGGCCATGATCTTCTTACGGACCTCCTCACCCTAGACAGAAAACACCGTTAGTCATCGGCTGATACGCGTAGAAGATGCTTGGGCCGTCCCATGACTGGGATGGATGCCGCATCGGGTCTGTGACTCAAGTGGGATTTCAACTTACCTCCTCGGGGGAGACGGGCTTTTGGCTCGTCTTGCGGAGCTCCTCAATGGTCTTCTGGTCGTATCGCAAATCCTTCTTGCAGCCGACGAGGATGATGGGCAGGCCCTGGCAGAAGTGCAGAACCTCGGAGATCCACTATGTAATTCAAACATGGTCAGTCAAGAGTGCTTTTCCGAGGCTTGCCAGGCAGTGACGCGTGGTATACGTACCTTCTCCTGAACGTTGTCGAGAGAGTCAGGGGAGTCAACAGCGAAGCAGATCAGGATAACGTGAGAATCGGGGTAGGACAGAGGGCGGAGACGGTCGTAATCTTCCTGACCAGCCGTATCCCATAGGGCCAGCTCGACATGCTTGCCATCAACCTCGACATCGGCTACATAGTTCTCAAAGACGGTGGGGACGTAGACCTGTGATCGACTGTAAGCAAAAGGCCTCCCATGGTGACAAAGTCGGTGGGCATGTGGAAGGCGGAATCGATGGATTTTGATGCCAGCAGCAGTCATGAAGCTGGGGGTGGTGCAATTTTCGCCATCAAATCGGCGTGGTGTTCATGGTGTGTCGTGGCACGGGAGAATAGGCGGTGCAGATGGGGATAGGAGTCGGTCGCAAGTGCGTGGCCTGAAAAGGGAGAGTTCAGCGGAGCTTACCTCAGGGAAAGTTCCCTTGGAGAAGACACTTGAAAAAATGTTAGCAAACTGTATTCTGCATGGGAGATGGATTCTGGAGACCGAGCGGGAGTGGTGAAGATGGATTGATGGATGAATGGTTGGATTTGGGATGGCTGGTGAGGCGGGCTGGATAGCAAAACAGGACAGCTTCACTCACATCAACAAGCAGGTTTTGCCGCAGGCACCGTCGCCAACAATGACAAGCTTCCGGCGGATCTCGGCCATGGTGTCTGTGTGTGTGTGATGGATTGGAAAAGGATTTGACAAGCGGATGGCAGTTGAGAGACGGTGGAGATGCAGTTGTTGAGATCTGGAGACCGAATGCAGCGGCAGTGGTGATGACGGGACGGGGAATGAATGGAGGAGGGTTTGGCTCAGAAGGGGGTTTTGAGGAAGAGCCTGGCGCAGGCTGAGAGCTGAGTTGCTGGGTCGCCCGTAGAGGGGGGATGGTGTTTGGTTGGTGGATGGCGGCCTGAAATGGCCTTCTGCCTCCACTGAGGCTCGGCAACCACTCGCCCAAAGGCTCGCTGCTGGCCTCCGCTGCAGTGCTGGGGAACAGGCTGGAGGCAGGGTAAGATGAACCGATGATGACAGCGCAGGCAGGTACCGCCGCTATGCCACTGCCACCAAGGGGGTACCTTTACTTCGCCCCAGCGCCATCCGTGGGTCCTAGTGTGCTTTTTCCTTTGCCCGCCTGGCCTCCTGGCTAATGTTGTCATGTGGGGGGTTTGTACGCCCCTGGCCGCTGCCATCTGCTCTAGGCCTCCGGCGCCAGGCATGATCGCAAGCTTCCTGCCAGTCCTATGGGCATTCCCGTGTGTGACTATTACGCCGAATTGCAGGCTTCCGCGGACGACACCAGTCCTCTCCATAGGTACGTGTGCACGAATAAGACGGTGGGAGTAGGGACTTGCAGCCTGGTTCTCCATGGCGGGCGCCGGGGCCCCATGGCCACTGAGGGCGGCGCAGGTAGCTTATCAGCCATTGCTCTCAATGCACGACCACGGCCAGCAATTTATGGCCATCAACCAACTACACAAACCTTGCACAAGCCACCACTGTTTCAGCTCCTCCTTGTTCAGTGCGTTTTATCGCCGTTCACCAGTCACTACGGTTGCATCCGTACTGTCGTCCCCCTCCCAATGACAACCATGTCTGTCCGGAACGAGAGGTTGCCGCTGGATTATGCCACCGCCCAGGTAATTACCATATGAATGAAGGATTGCCAGTTGATTAGTTCTGCACAAACACCGTAAACCAATCCCATCACGCCCTCACTATTTATCCTCCCAGGGCCCGGAAGTCCCCGTCGAACGTCCTGCCTTAGTTCCGAAGTCTCTCCTCCGACCTCAAGTGCCTGAGCTGAGGTCTGGCTTCCGACAAACCGTCAATGCGAGCGGTGCCAAGATATGGCTGGGAAGAAACAAAGACACGGCAATTGAGGGCGTGGCTGCACGGTTACGCTGGATTCCCTTTTGGCCTTAGATGCGACATGTTTGTGACTGAGATCATACAGGTCACACGACCGTATGCAATCGTCTCGTTTCATTGGACACCTCTCAGGCTTGCACGCAGCGGATATGCGTCCCTGTCCTGTCGATGCACTGTGAATTGTGACGTCCCTATGCTTTGGCGGGTAGGACTTTTGTACAAGGTGGCGGTGGTCTAGGACTTGGTCGGATTACGTACGCCTGCCCGTGGCTAATGCGCACCCAGCGACAACGCCAACGACAATCAACGGATACGAGCATCAGCAACTGAACAAGACCCATGCACCGGCCTAGCAGGTAAGTGTGTAACTACAGATCATCATTAGGGGCTTACACGTCGAAATGACTTCTTTGTCAGAATTGCAGCAACCTCGCTTCGCATACTAATGTCGACCTTCGATATTACTGCCAAAGTATCCTGTACGTCCTGCCTGTTGTTCAAGGCACGCACCTTACCTCCCAGGGCGATACGGAAACACGTTGCCGTTAAATCTCAGGTGCAGGTACGCGTCCTCTTAGAGTAGTCTGATCTCGGTCTCGTATCTCCCTAGTCCTCGGCTTCTCCCCATAATTAAATAGGAATATCACAGCCAAGGCCCTACTGATAAGCCCCAATGACGCACGCATACATCCGTCCTTTGAGAGCCGTGTTTGTCCTGCAATGTGCGTAGACGTTTTAGACGGGATGTGGAGTGCGGCAGCCACACAGTATATACGGACAGTGCCGGGCGCGTTTCCACACTATACACAGCCCGCCCACCACCAACGATCGTGCGGCATGTTCCGCGTGGAGAATTTTGAGTAGGGAAAATTGGATGTGGAATATCCCAAACCGTCACCGCAACGACCCTCAAATCAACCAGTCATTGGTGCGACTGCCACAGCCTTGCGTCCGGGATAGCGAGGTCAATCGGTCTCAATTGGTTTTCAATTCGGACCCGACGATGCAGAAGCTTCTCAAGAGGACGGCCCAGGCCCAGCGCCAGGCAGGGCGTCGGGCCAAGAAGATGCACAGGAGAGATGAATTCGATACGAGAAGACGAAACAACCAGTACCTCAAGATCGCCAACGACGAGATTCGACAGAACCTGAAAGATTCGCGCCGGGCGAGGAAGGAAGACTGGGAGATGGGTCCTCTGGCCCCGAAACGAGACCTCGGCTTCAATGGCTATGGAACCTTCAGGGAGAACTTGCGGCAGGACTGGACCAACAACGGCATGAATCCCATCGACCCAAAGGTTCTGGAGCAGCGCTGTGCTTGGGCTGGAGGCGTGAAGCAACTTTGCCTCGCTCCTCAAGACCGTGTGGTCATTCTGGACGGCCCCGACAAGGGCAAGGTGGACCGCATTCAGAGTGTTAACAAGCTGAACGGTTCCGTAACGTTAGAAAACCACCACAAGGTGAGCCAATACGCAGAATTCCCTGCAGGTATGGAGCTCTTGCTGAATTGTTTTAGGCCCTCTTTCAAACCTGGCTTGACGGCAAGCATCATGCACAGGCAATGCCAATATCAGTTGGTTCCATTCGCCTGGTATACCCAATCACCAATCCCAAGACCGGAATTACCAAGGATACGATAATCAACGAAATCAAACCAATCCCCGCAAACATGGAGTCGGACAACATGTCGCTGGATCGTTGGGAGTATGGAAACAAGTGGGATCGTCTCGTGCTCGGCATCAACGTCTCTATCCCTTGGCCAGAGGTCCAGGCCCCCAAGTTCGACACATACGACATAGACACAACCCGAGACAAGGTCGAGGCCCGAACATTCTTTTACAACCTTCTATCACCACCCATGCCCAACGTTATCATCGACGAGCTCCGGAACAAGTACTCCAAGTTCCGAACTCGCCACGACCCAGAGTACATTGCAATGAAGGAGCTTCAAGAGCGGATGAAGAAGGGCAACCCGGCTGTTCTCAAGTCTATGCAGACCCCTCTAGAGGAGTTCCACGAGAAGCAGAGAGAACTCAAGGAGGCCCGAGGCGAGCCCGAGCTTTCTGAAGAAATGTTGACGAAGCTGGGTGAGATCATTGCCAAGACCAAGGCCACGTCTTTGGAAGATGCGGGCATCACCCCACTTCCTACCGAGCCAGCAGAGAAGACTCCAGAGAAGACCGTTGATGCTCCTTGATCGACCCCATAGTGTCTGGTGTATGACCTAGGGTGATGCTTGGATGAAGCAGATATCGTATAGTGAAGAGCTAAAAATGTAATATTAGCATCTGTGCAATAGTGTACATCATACATAGAATGAGTGCCCGAGAAACGCACTTTATTTTGGACATGACGTCTGTCATCTTTATGAGGGCAGCTGCTGGACGTGGATATGAAGCGATTACGTTTAATCACGACACAGGAGAGAAATTCACCCAAGAGACTTAATTTTACTGAAATCTGCACGGTCTTGCGTGGGACATCGCAGAACAACACAGCAGACCCAGATCCTACCTCTAGCCCACGGCACTGAATTTTCATCATCTCTCTTCTTACTCTTCCCCCCCCCCCGAGCTTCTTCACAAGCAACGGAGCACATCTAGTTCACAAGCTAGGGGGGAATATAAGTATTCACTTTCCAGAAACCGGGTTTGCTTCGCGGTGCGCTTCATCTTCCATTTTAAGCAAGTAGTGATTACGATAACACGGCTGAAGAAAGACAGGGTATATTGGTCTTCCGTCCATGACAAATTGCTGAACGCCAGCAAGGTCAGCTACACTACCCATGCTAGGCAAGAGAAGAAGGCCAGAGTGGGAACTTGTGTGAGCCTCGCCCAACCGCTCGCTGACACACTGCGGTAGACCAAAGCCAGGCTCCGATGAGCCTCCCACTGCCACGTTTTAATAAGCGTCAGCAATACGTTCCCAATGAGGTGGTAAGTTTGGCTGACGGGGCGCCTGAGGTAGCATGGGGAAAGATGCGGATACTCAGGCTGGGGGCCTGGTCTGGGGTTTGGAAGTGTGGGTGATGGGCATCGGATTGCCCGTCCTGGCCGTGGAGAGGTCACGCAGGCTCTTGCCTTTTTTTCAACGACCGAAGGATCGTAGATAGATCCGGGGAATGGGTTCTCTGGGGCCAATTCGAGTCCTTGGCAAGTCAAAGTTGGATTGAGGGGGAAAGAGAAGTGGTATCTTGTTTTTGCTGATAGGTTAGTAGCTAGGCGATACAGCTCTGCCTACGCCAGGAAAGGTAGATTCTCTACTCCTATCTTCGAGGTACTAGGTAGTTTCTCATATTGTAGTAGACAAGTAGGGCAGCCTATCGGCGGTCTTCAATCCAAAGGCGGGTACAATCGCTTGGTCATATGTGCAGCCTTACACTTGGACTGGGTGACGGTACGATTGGGTTGGTCTAGGACCAGGAATAAAGATATCACTGCTTTCTAGACACCTCAATTGACTGCGGATAGAGTTATTTCTCATCAGAAACATGCTTATTGGAGTAGTCCGCATATTCGGCATCGAACCGACCAGCATTGACCCATATGTCTACAGGGTGGTTGGGTGTTTAAGGTGAGTCGGCAGCATGTCGGTCGATGAACTTGCAGTATGATCAGGGCAGGCCACAGGTCAGCGATATCTACTGCCAGAATAGGTAGGCCGAAGCTGGCAGTCAAAGAATAGACTCACCGGGCCTGTCGAAGCATCTTTCCCTACATCGCAGAGAAAGATATCCGGTGGCGGGGGCCCTTCCCGTGGGGTGAAACGTGGTACGGCCAATGGGCCTCTGCCTATTCGCACCGAACGCCGATCTTGGGGTCTGACATGCCTTCTTTCTCGGCGCCATCCCCAAGCCAACCCATGCCATGTAACACTGTGAGTCTTCTTATCATTCCACACAGTGCAGGATAACAGAACTAGCAAGAGGTGTTTGGAGAAACCTTCAGGGATGTGGAAATCATGGATCAGATGGCCCATTGGCCTTTTCCTGCCAATGAGGACAAAAGGGAGAGGTTCCCCTCCTTTGAGGGCGATCACTACAAAAACATAGGTGCCCCTTCGTACGGTGGGGGGTTTTTCGTCGCTGTTTTATTCTACTTTGCCGACGGCACTATCATTGGATCAGATCGTCTACGATGGACTCAAAGGACGATAGGAATCTGCCTGTCATCAAGGACACCGAAGTCGGTGGTTCTGAGGAAACAGCCCGAGTGGTAGATCATGTCGCAGAGAGAAAACTATGTCGAAAGTTTGACGTGCGGTTGATGCCGGTCCTGGCAGTCATGTGTAAGTCGCCGATGAAAAGGTCATTCTGCACTTCATATGCTCACAATATCACAGATCTCTTTAATGCTCTCGATAAAGGCAACTTGGGCAATGCGGAATCAGCCGGCCTGAGCGAAGGTATGTTGAGCCACCTCTACCCAACCTTTCTCTTAGACACGCTGACATTTCGAAGATCTCAAATTCGCACCCAACCAGTACAACTTGCTCATCTCGATTTTCTTCGTGCCATATGTTGTCTTCGCTCCGCCGGTCGCCATTATGGGCAAACGCTTCGGCCCTGCTCGCGTGCTGCCAATCCTCATGTTCATTTTTGGATCCATGACTCTCTTATCTGCAGCGGCCAATAACTTCGGGGGCCTCTTCGCTCTGCGCTTCTTCCTGGGCGCGGCCGAGTCTGGATTCTTTCCACTGGTCATCTACTATCTGACGACGTTCTATCGTCGAGGAGAACTGGCTCGCCGGCTTGCGTTGTTCTACGCAGCCTCTAATATTGCCAACGCCTTTGTAAGTCAGCAGACGAAAGATTGAGTTTTTTGCATCTGTCGCTTCAGGATTAACAATCGTGCAGAGTGGTCTCCTGTCCTTCGGCGTTTTCCAGATCAAGTCCAACATTTTCCCATGGCGGTATCTCTTCATCATCGAGGGTGCCTGCTCAGTCCTCTTCTCGTTCTTCACATACTGGTACCTCCCTCTCAGCGCCTCAGAGGCCAAGTTCCTCAATGAGGAGGAGAAGGCGCTCGCCTTCCACCGTATCCAGGTCGACTCCTC